TATTTTTATTAAAATTAATTCAACGATGCTTTGACCACACGAATATTCCTATTGTGTGGGGCAGTCAGAAGTTTCACAGATTGAGACCCGGCTTTGGTTCTTTCCCTCTGTATCGTGATCAGATATGAATGTCAAATCTCAGCCATTGTTTTTCTCTGCTGTTAAGTCTAACATGGAATGCACAATCTATCCTGAACGGCCGCTCTGTCAAATTATTATACAACTTCCAAATACAAGCTACAATCAATTATTGTACAACTTGCAAATACAAGCCACAATCAATCATTGTACAACTTGCAAATACAAGCCACAATCAATTATTGTACAACTTGCAAATACAAGCCACAGTCAATCATTGTACAACTTGCAAATACAAGCCACGATATCTTTTTTACATCCCTTGGATACCTTGTGTTACCGGCCATAGCACGCGTCTTTTCGTGTCGCCATGGTAATCCTGGACCACTCTCAGAGTACCCTGGTGCCACCGTCACAGGACACCTTAGTGAACACCAGGCCTTCGGGTATCCCAGCATCTGACAGTGGATACCTTGACCTGGTGATGGAGTTCTTCCTGGAGGGATCAATACAGTGTAGACAATTAAGCAGACAATATATGATATTATAATATAATGAGTAATTTAATCATATTTTAACGTTAAAATTACACGTATTCTCGAGTGTAAGCCGACTTTTCCACGGGGGTGGGGTGGGGTGGGGTGGTGTTGGTGGGCGTGGGGATGATGGCGGGGTGTGGGGGGGGTGTGGGGGGGGGGGGGGTGGGGGGTGGGGGTGGGGGGTGGGGGAGGGCCTGTGCGGCTGATACAATGTTGAGGTCTGTAAAGAAAAACAATAAGTATTAAAGAAGTAAGAGAAGTACAACAAAGTGTGTACTCGTATACTGGACTCCCCGTCAGAAACATTTGCCCTGTAGTCCGTTGTTACCCTTGGCTGTGATGTTGACTGAAGTTTTAGTGATTTTCAGCATCACTTTTATTAGGGTTGTTTCCACATGGTCAGATTAGACATTTTCTCTGATTGCTGATGCGGCGTTAAGTAAAAATTACTCTCTCACTCACAATTATATCCTCAATTTGATATGTAGTATCTGGTTATTGCCCTTATATTATGTTTATCAATTTTATCCACATGTGATATTGTAAGTTATTTTGTGTCTCGTAATCCTAACAAGGAAGCACTTTGCACGTTCACCTTTATGTTGAAATCATGTAGTGTTTATGTTGAAATCATGTTGTGTTTTACGTTGAAATCATGTAGTGTTTACGTTGAAATCATGTTGTGTTTATGTTGACATCATGTAGTGTTTATGTTGACATCATGTAGTGTTTATGTTGACATCATGTAGTGTTTCTGTTGAAATTTAGTGTTTATGTTGAAATCATGTTGTGTTTATGTTGAAATCATGTTGTGTTTCTGTTGAAATCATGTAGTGTTTTACGTTGAAATCATGTTGTGTTTTACGTTGAAATCATGTTGTGTTTATGTTGAAATCATGTTGTGTTTATGTTGAAATCATGTTGTGTTTATGTTGAAATCATGTTGTGTTTTACGTTGAAATCATGTTGTGTTTTACGTTGAAATCATGTTGTGTTTCTGTTGAAATCATGTTGTGTTTTACGTTGAAATCATGTTGTGTTTACGTTGAAATCATGTTGTGTTTTACGTTGAAATCATGTAGTGTTTACGTTGAAATCATGTTGTGTTTTACGTTGAAATCATGTTGTGTTTACGTTGAAATCATGTTGTGTTTTACGTTGAAATCATGTTGTGTTTATGTTGAAATCATGTTGTGTTTATGTTGAAATCATGTAGTGTTTCTGTTGAAATCATGTAGTGTTTTACGTTGAAATCATGTAGTGTTTACGTTGAAATCATGTTGTGTTTTACGTTGAAATCATGTTGTGTTTACGTTGAAATCATGTTGTGTTTTACGTTGAAATCATGTTGTGTTTATGTTGAAATCATGTTGTGTTTCTGTTGAAATCATGTTGTGTTTTACGTTGAAATCATGTTGTGTTTACGTTGAAATCATGTTGTGTTTTACGTTGAAATCATGTAGTGTTTATGTTGACATCATGTAGTGTTTACGTTGGAATCATGTTGTGTTTATGTTGACATCATGTAGTGTTTCTGTTGAAATTTAGTGTTTCTGTTGAAATTTAGTGTTTCTGTTGAAATTTAGTGTTTCTGTTGAAATCATGTTGTGTTTTACGTTGAAATCATGTAGTGTTTACGTTGAAATCATGTTGTGTTTATGTTGACATCATGTAGTGTTTACGTTGAAATCATGTTGTGTTTATGTTGACATCATGTAGTGTTTATGTTGACATCATGTAGTGTTTATGTTGACATCATGTAGTGTTTATGTTGACATCATGTAGTGTTTATGTTGAAATCATGTAGTGTTTATGTTGACATCATGTAGTGTTTACGTTGAAATCATGTTGTGTTTATGTTGACATCATGTAGTGTTTCTGTTGAAATTTAGTGTTTATGTTGAAATCATGTTGTGTTTATGTTGAAATCATGTTGTGTTTATGTAAACTGCAAAGTAGGACAGATAGATAAAATAAATCATCTTCTTTTTGTGTGCTTTATCAACCATTAACTTCTGAAAAATGTTCATCAACAATTTACATAATTACTGCTGTGTATAATAACCCACACAAGACAACGACCACCCCACACAACGTGACATGCGGCTGTTTATTGGAGAGATCGCTATCAGTGCAGCATGGAGAACTCTCATAGCTTGACATTGACCGTGTTCTAGTTATGTTGATTAATTTCAAACAGAATGTGACAGCATTGCCAAACTTGTTCATAATCCAAACATTTTCTGACTTTCTTTTTGCATCAAACGTTAACTTTTAGTTAGATATTAGGCTGAGTTAGCAACACATGAAACGAATACCTGTCCTCACAGGAAATCGGGTGTACATGTCCCGAATTGTCGACACCTGTCAATCATCGTCACGTTCCTCCGCTGTCACGTGACTCTGTGGCGGCCATCTGGTCGCGCGATCAATGGAAGGCGTATTGAATTGATATCGATATGCATACTCGGTAGTGAACACAACACAGGCTGTTGGCCGCTGGCGTTTGATTTCATTGAAGAACGTGGCTTAATTACGCAAATATGTGTGTTGCCATGAGGTTGAGGGAAAATCTACAAAAGCACAACAAAATTGATAGTGTTGATAACGACACTATGCATTACACACACACGCACGCACGCACGCACGCACGCACAAATCCAAACACACACAACCATTTATTTTTCTTGCTCTGCCTGCCGCTCGGATCCGCTCTTGACGGTATTTGTTGTTGCCCTGCCTGGTGCTCGGCATTAAGAATAAAACAAGAACGACTCGCTGTCAGTATAAAGATCGACAGACACTACACTAACACACGTGGAATAAACACACATTGACACACATTGAACACTTTACACCACCAGTGAAGCCGTTTCCACATTATAGCTAAAGGTTCAATGTTTGAAACAAGTCAATCATCAAGGTACAAGTCACACGGACTGTTAAGTGCAACTTAAGCACAACACACAGCAACTGTTCAGTTCTACGTTATTGATGGTGATATGTATAAAGGTTGTGATATCAAGGTCAACACCTAATACACAATACACAGGATAACCTTGATCCATACTTCTCTAAGAGAATTACCTCCCTAATGATACTATATTTACTCCTGTCAATTATTTACGCTGCCCAAAAGTGCTAATATCTCGCTACACGTAACCTGTGTCAACGTGTCCCCCACTGCGATATGGTATAGGCCTTTTCCCGATCTTCTCGACAAGCAAACCTCGTTACGTCGATCTGGGTCAACGTTTCCCGCACTGCGATGTGCTGTATGGAGAGGTCGGCTACAGCTAAACTTGTACACTGTCTTACGCTTCCAAGCGCAAGCGCTCTAGGGTAGATACTCCCAGTCTAGAACAAGACGTGTCTCACACATTCTGTTGTACAGACATCCGGGTTACAACAGGTGCCCGGGACTCGACTGACTGTCGATAGATCTGATCGGGCTAATTCGTACATGGTTGATTTCGTGACCTCGTATCCCGTCGATCAAAATATACAACCATTGATTTGTTTAGCCCAGATTATTTACAGGCTGCCGTGATATATACTACTGGGAAATATTTAAGCATCGCCAACTATATATTTCGACATAAATTAGTTATTATGTTTTTTCAGTCAAAGACTATCCGATATTCTAACGCCACATCAATATTCCAGCGATATGACGGCGGTCTGTAAATAATCGAGTGTTCGTACCATACAAACAAGTGATGGACATCACGAGAGTCTATCGAATCAGTTGGGACACAATGACATGCATGAACCATGTCAGAACCCCATTTCCTCAATCGCCTGTTACGACAAACATGGGTTGTTTAAGACCAACTCTAACACGGATAATCACGGGGGTATAAGCTCTGTGTCTCCGACATACTTTATTGTTGACGATGGTAGAGCTGGGCGTAGATATGATCGAGGTTCTCTTGTACTGCAGTTTACACTGAAAACAGTGCGCGTGCGCTCCCCCGTACAAAGAGGAGCATAAGTTATGGAAGGACAGCGGGGATAGAATGATCACGTATTTACAAGTAATCCAGAGACATCGGTGTCGCAAAAAAGCGATTGGTTATGAAATCGCGGTATGCGACACACGCTTGTTAAAAGACGACCAACTGACGTCAACATACCACTGCTATACGTTTCCTGGGCTTGTCTTTATCAAATTTAACAGCATGTAGTTATATAGCACAGAATCGGGGCGCTATTGATGTCGCGTTCGGCCGCGAGACATGTGTTATCATATGCAAAATCTTTATCTACGCTTTCGGGGCTTTGTTGTTTCATCAGCAGGCCCGGGGACATGTGTATTGATAAACACTCCCCCTGTAATAAAGTGGTAGGTGAATATAGCTGTATCGTTATTGAGGAGGAGTGTTCTTGGATCAATGAGTGTGGTGATCGTGGGGACAGCTGTCGTCACACATGGTGTATGGTCGATCCCTTCGTGGCTCACAAACCTCCTCATCACACGCTAAGCACTCCAGACGGGAAATCCTCAGCCTCGTCATCCTCAGGTCGGACCAAGGTGAGAAAGATAGACTAAAACTTCCTCCTCCTCATCAGTAAATTGACGTCTCGGTATTCACTGAATTGCGTATCACCGTGAATATTGTCTTGACTCATGTACGTCGTTTCATATGACAAAATATGTGTTCCATGTCGTGCTGTGAACATGCTGTTAGCTGGTGCAGCTGTTGATGTCTCGGCCAACTTGTACACGTGCTGAACTGAACGAATAATTTCAAAACATTTTAATCGTTAACTCAAACTCCGATAACTCGATGTTTTACTTAAAATGATTGATGGGCTGGGCCTGTTTCACAAAGCGACTTCAGCGCAAAGAAGAAGTATTTCCCAAATACGACAGGCGCGAAGATCGCTTTCTCGAACCGGATCCCTGCATGCTCCCTGTGATCTGACATCGGCACCCCGCTTGTCCCGAACTACGGATGTCTCGAATGATATTTGATTACCCTTTGACTTCGAGTTAGCAATCTTGCAGGCCTTTACTGTGCCTTAAAGTACAGCTATGACGTCATTCTATTGTTTCAACTGTAAATTTCTATTCTGTAACGAAATGACAGTTTACTGACAAACTTCTTGTTTTTCAAATTTTAATTTCCTTGATAAATTTAAGCACGTATATGTATGTACTGGCTGTACCAGGGCGTGGAGTCATCCCACAGATGACATCCTTACCTTGTCAGCTTGCTGACGGGGTTAACCTCTTTGATCATGTGGACAAGGCGTCCGACCTCGGATCAGAAGGTCCGTGGTTCGAATCCCATCACGGGACTCGGAAATTTTATGGCCGCTACACTGGCGCCTAACGTAGGGCCAATGTGGGGCCAACGTGGGGCCATCAAATTTCCGAGTAAGGATGTCATCTGTGGGATGACTCCACGCCCTGGTACATACTCCCCAGTCATAGAAGGCACGTCCCGGGCCGCATAGTAGGGTACTGAGGCTTATTTTGCTCAAACTTGATATGAACGTGCTGAGCCCCACGTTGGGCGTTGGAAGATGCTTGCGCAGGAAGTCCCCTACCAATGCTCGTGCTCCTCTGATGAACATAACTACGTCAAGACAGACTAACTCCAAAGGCTATGTGGTAGTTATGTTCATCAGAGGAGCGCGAGCATTGGTCGGGAACTTCCTGGGCAAGCATCTTCCACATCCTCGGATCCAGTCTTCTACATCATGGTGCATTCCTGGCCAAAAGAAGCGACAAGGTAAGGATGTCATCTGTGGGATGACTCCACGCCCTGGTACACTGGCTACAACGATTAAATCGTACAAATAACACGTGCTTTTCGAATAAACGAGCTTGTTTAAATGCAGATATGGAAGCACCAGTTAAAGATTCTCACGCATGACGAATGTACTGCTTGACATATCATTGCAGCATAAGTGCGTAGTATTTATGTTTGTTTATTGGTTGATCTATTTTAACGTTCAGGATGTATTTTAAATCTTATTACGCAGTATTGTTGTTACTTGAAGTTTTACATTCAGTCAGATAACGCATGCGCAACTCAACTCTCGTGACGAAACCTGATACCCATGTGCATCGAATGTACTTGCGCATTGCCTCAACTGAGACAACAGACACGTGTTATGAAATATGAAATACTTTCTTAGAAATATGAAACAATGTATTGTTGCAGCTGTCACTGTTAATGTATTTCCCTTGAAGGTATATGAGAGTCGCTCAACGTGCACACACAACCCCGGGGCACAACGCTTGATTTGAGGACCCAGGGCACAACGCTTGACTTGAGGACCAAGGGCACAACGCTTGACTCGAGGACCCAGGGCACAACGCTTGACTTGAGGACCCAGGGCACAACGCTTGACTCGAGGACCCAGGGCACAACGCTTGACTTGAGGACCCAGGGCACAACGCTTGACTTGAGGACCCACCATGCGGAAGGTGTACCGGATCGTGCCGCGGCTTCTGGTCGTGGCGGCTGTAGTGTGTTTCTTCTTATTCTCTAAAAGGTTCTACAAGACGGACGAGCTGCCTAAATGGTGGAGTAAATCAGAAATGAAAGTGGCCCCGCTAGCGCCACGCCCAGATTTCAATACATATCTCAATAACAGTAGACCTGAGCATGTGAAGAAGATCAACAGTGATCTGAAAGCTGATGTTGATGATGAGGAGGAAAATGAGGATGTAGCTGAGCATGATGTCGTAGAGGAGAGGGATGCTGTTCAGGATGGTGGAGTTGAGGTCAAGCATGAGGGGGTAAGGGACGCCGTACAGGTTGATGCCGACAGAGGGAAGGCAGTGCGCGGTGACGCCGTTCAGGTTGATGACGACAGAGGGAAGGCCGTGCACGGTGACGCCGTTAAAGCCAACGTGGACGTCCCAGCTGTACAGGTCAAGGGAGATAATCCAGTTGAGGATGTGCCGTTCCCGGCGTTTGTGAAGGAGAGTGTTGAGGGTGGCCTTGGTAAGTCTGCGACAGAGTGCACACAGGCTTCATGTCGACTTTATAAATAACATGTTATACTGTGTCACTTGGCATCATGATTGCTTTTATTAAATACGCACCTATCAACTTCATTCAGAGCGAAAGGTCGGGGTTCGATCTCCGGTCCCATAAAACCAAAAGACCAAAAGATGGTAAGTTTACCCTGCCTGGCGCTCAGTATTAAGGGGTTAAAACAAGAACTAGACCAAGTAGTTAGAATACTGCGTCTGAGTGGGGGTATTCATGTTAAACTGCGGCATGGTATCTCAGTGGGCTAGCACTATAAAATCGCCTTTAGTCTGGACTACGTATTAGCAGCCACACAAACACGTGCATGTACGTCGCTATATAAGTCTCTATATAATCTTGGACGCGACGCGTTCTAGAGGTACGTGTCTGTCATTTCTATAGACACGTGTCTCTATGTTAGATTCTATAGATATGTCTGTAAGTCAGATATTATAGACACGTGTCTGTATATCAGTTCTATAGACACGTATTTCTATGTCAGTTCTATAGACACGTGACTGTATGTCAGTTCTAAAGACACGTGTCTGTATGTCAATGCTATAGACATGTGACTGTATGTCAATCCTATAGACATGTATGTATGCCATTTCTATAGACACGTGTTTGTATGTCAGTTCTATAGACATGTCTGTATGTTAGATTCTATAGACACGTGTATGTATGTCAGTTTTATAGACACGTGTCTGTATGTCAGTACTATAGACACGTGTCTGTATGTCAATGCTATGGGCACGTGACTGTATGTCAGTTCTATAGACACGTGACTGTATGTCAGTTCTATAAAACACGTGTTTTGTATGCCAGTTCTATAGACATGTCTATATGTCAGTTTTATAGACATGTCTATTTGTCAGTTCTATAGACACGTGTCTGTATTTCAGTTCTATAGACACGTGTCTGTATGTCAGTTCTATTGCCACGTGTCTGTATTTCAGTTCTATTGCCACGTGTCTGTATGTCAGTTCTATTGCCACGTGTCTGTAATTCAGTTCTATAGACACGTGTCTGTATGTCAGTTCTATTGCCACGTGTCTGTATTTCAGTTCTATTGCCACGTGTCTGTATGTCAGTTCTATTGCCACGTGTCTGTAATTCAGTTCTATAGACACGTGTCTGTATGTCAGTTCTATTGCCACGTGTCTGTAATTCAGTTCTATAGACACGTGTCTGTAATTCAGTTCTATAGACACTTGTCTGTATGTCAGTTCTATTGCCACGTGTCTGTAATTCAGTTCTATAGACACGTGTCTGTATGTCAGTTCTATAGACACGTGTCTGTATGTCAGTTCTAAAGACACGTGTCTGTATGTCAGTTCTATAGACACGTGTCTGTATGTCAGTTCTATAGACACGTGTCTGTATGTCAGTTCTAAAGACACGTGTCTGTATGTCAGTTCTATAGACACCTGTCTGTATGTCAGTTCTATAGACACGTGTCTGTATGTCCTGTATGTGAATGTCTTACAGGTGAGCATGGCGTCCCCGCCGTGATGAAGTTGTCGGCCACAGAGAAGCAGGAGTCAGACCGGGTGATGGCGCTGAACGACTTCAACCAATACGCCAGCGACAGAATCTCCATCCATCGTCGCCTTGACGACACACGGGACGCTTAGTAAGTCAGATATACGTAGATAACCAGCATTTCATTTCTAGTCTATAACAGATATGTAATATATCACTTGTTGGTGTATAATACTAGTATATATGCTATACACTGTCACCATAACTTATTACCGGGCGGGGTGTCATATAAATGCTATACACTGTCACTGTCAGCTATTTACGGGTGTATGATGTAAATGCTATACACTGTCACTGTCAGCTATTTACGGGTGTATGATATACATGCTATACACTGACAGCTATTTACGGGTGTATGATATACATGCTATACACTATCACTGTCAGCTATTTACGGGTGTATGGTATACATGCATACACTGGCAGCTATTTACGGGTGTATGATGTACACGCTATACACTGTCAGCTATTTACGGGTGTATGATATACATGCTATACACTATCACTGGCAGCTATTTACGGGTGTATGGTATACATGCATACACTGTCAGCTATTTACGGGTGTATGATGTACATGCTATACACTGTCAGCTATTTACGGGTGTATGATATACATGCTATACACTGTCAGCTATTTACGGGTGTATGATATACATGCTATACACTGTCAGCTATTTACGGGTGTATGATATACATGCTACACACTGTCAGCTATTTACGGGTGTATGATATACATGCTATACACTGTCAGCTATTTACGGGTGTATGGTATACATGCTATACACTGTCAGCTATTTACGGGTGTATGATATACATGCTATACACTGTCAGCTATTTACGGGTGTATGGTATACATGCATACACTGTCAGCTATTTACGGGTGTATGATGTACATGCTATACACTGTCAGCTATTTACGGGTGTATGATATACATGCTATACACTGTCAGCTATTTACGGGTGTATGATATACATGCTACACACTGTCAGCTATTTACGGGTGTATGATATACATGCTATACACTATCACTGGCAGCTATTTACGGGTGTATGGTATACATGCAAACACTGTCACCTATTTACGGGTGTATGATGTACATGCTATACACTGTCAGCTATTTACGGGTGTATGATATACATGCTATACACTGTCAGCTATTTACGGGTGTATGATATACATGCATACACTGTCACTGTCAGCTATTCACGGTATGTGTGATATACATGCTATACACTGTCAGCTATTTACGGGTGTATGATATACATGCTATACACTGTCAGCTATTTACGGGTGTATGATATACATGCTATACACTGGCAGCTATTTACGGGTGTATGATATACATGCTATACACTGTCAGCTATTTACGGGTGTATGATATACACGCTATACACTGGCAGCTATTTACGGGTGTATGATATACATGCTTTACACTGTCACTGTCAGCTATTTACGGGTGAGTGATATACATGCTATACACTGTCAGCTATTTACGGGTGTATGGTATACATGCATACACTGGCAGCTATTTACGGATGTATGGTATACATGCTATACACTGTCAGCTATTTACGGGTGTATGATATTCATGCTATACACTGTCAGCTATTTACGGGTGTATGATATTCATGCTATACACTTTCAGCTATTTACGGGTGGGTGATATTCATGCTATACACTGTCAGCTATTTACGGGTGTATGATATACATGCTATACACTGTCAGCTATTTACGGGTGGGTGATATTCATGCTATACACTGTCAGCTATTTACGGGTGTATGATATACATGCTATACACTGGAAGCTATTTACGGGTGTATGATATACATGCTATACACTGTCACTGTCAGCTATTTACGGTTGAGTGATATACATGCTATACACTGTCAGCTATTTACGGGTGTATGATATACATGCATACACTGTCAGCTATTTACGGGTGTATGATGTACATGCTATACACTGTCACTGTCAGCTATTTACGGGTGAGTGATATACATGCTATACACTGGCAGCTATTTACGGGTGAGTGATATACATGCTATACACTGGCAGCTATTTACGGGTGAGTGATATACATGCTATACACTGTCAGCTATTTACGGGTGTATGATATACATGCTATACACTGTCACTGTCAGCTATTTACGGGTGAGTGATATACATGCTATACACTGTCAGCTATTTACGGGTGTATGATATACATGCTATACACTGTCACTGTCAGCTATTTACGGGTGAGTGATATACATGCTATACACTGTCAGCTATTTACGGGTGAGTGATATACATGCTATACACTGTCAGCTATTTACGGGTGTATGATATACATGCTATACACTGTCAGCTATTTACGGGTGGGTGATATTCATGCTATACACTGTCAGCTATTTACGGGTGTATGATATACATGTTGTACACTGGAAGCTATTTACGGGTGTATGATATACATGCTATACACTGTCACTGTCAGCTATTTACGGGTGAGTGATATACATGCTATACACTGTCAGCTATTTACGGGTGTATGATATACATGCATACACTGTCAGCTATTTACGGGTGTATGATCTACATGCTATACACTGTCACTGTCAGCTATTTACGGGTGAGTGATATACATGCTATACACTGTCAGCTATTTACGGGTGAGTGATATACATGCTATACACTGGCAGCTATTTACGGGTGAGTGATATACATGCTATACACTGTCAGCTATTTACGGGTGTATGATATACATGTTATACACTGTCACTGTCAGCTATTTACGGGTGAGTGATATACATGCTATACACTGTCAGCTATTTACGGGTGTATGATATACATGCTATACACTGTCACTGTCAGCTATTTACGGGTGAGTGATATACATGCTATACACTGTCAGCTATTTACGGGTGAGTGATATACATGCTATACACTGGAAGCTATTTACGGGTGTATGATATACATGCTATACACTGTCACTGTCAGCTATTTACGGGTGAGTGATATACATGCTATACACTGTCAGCTATTTACGGGTGTATGATATACATGCATACACTGTCAGCTATTTACGGGTGTATGATGTACATGCTATACACTGTCAGCTATTTACGGGTGTATGATATACATGCTATACACTGTCACTGTCAGCTATTTACGGGTGAGTGATATACATGCTATACACTGTCAGCTATTTACGGGTGTATGATATACATGCATACACTGTCAGCTATTTACGGGTGTATGATGTACATGCTATACACTGTCAGCTATTTACGGGTGTATGATGTACATGCTATACACTGTCACTGTCAGCTATTTACGGGTGTATGATATACATGCTATACACTGTCACTGTCAGCTATTTACGGGTGAGTGATATACATGCTATACACTGTCAGCTATTTACGGGTGAGTGATATACATGCTATACACTGTGAGCTATTTACGGGTGAGTGATATACATGCTATACACTGGCAGCTATTTACGGGTGAGTGATATACATGCTATACACTGTCAGCTATTTACGGGTGTATGATATACATGCTATACACTGTCACTGTCAGCTATTTACGGGTGAGTGATATACATGCTATACACTGTCAGCTATTTACGGGTGAGTGATATACATGCTATACACTGGAAGCTATTTACGGGTGTATGATATACATGCTATACACTGTCACTGTCAGCTATTTACGGGTGAGTGATATACATGCTATACACTGTCAGCTATTTACGGGTGTATGATATACATGCTATACACTGTCACTGTCAGCTATTTACGGGTGAGTGATATACATGCTATACACTGTCAGCTATTTACGGGTGAGTGATATACATGCTATACACTGTCAGCTATTTACGGGTGTATGATATACATGCTATACACTGTCACTGTCAGCTATTTACGGGTGAGTGATATACATGCTATACACTGTCAGCTATTTACGGGTGAGTGATATACATGCTATACACTGTCAGCTATTTACGGGTGTATGATATACATGCATACACTGGCAGCTATTTACGGGTGTATGATATACATGCATACACTGGCAGCTATTTACGGGTGTATGATGTACAAGCTATACACTGGCAGCTATTTACGGGTGTATGATATACATGCTATACACTGTCAGCTATGTACGGGTGGGTGATATTCATGCTCTACACTGTCAGCTATTTACGGGTGTATGATATACATGCTATACACTGTCAGCTATTTACGGGTGAGTGATATACATGCTATACACTGTCAGCTATTTACGGGTGTATGATATACATGCATACACTGGCAGCTATTTACGGGTGAGTGATATACATGCTATACACTGTCAGCTATTTACGGGTGAGTGATATACATGCTATACACTGTCAGCTATTTACGGGTGTATGATATACATGCATACACTGGCAGCTATTTACGGGTGTATGGTATACATGCATACACTGGCAGCTATTTACGGGTGTATGATGTACACGCTATACACTGGCAGCTATTTACGGGTGTATGATATACATGCTATACACTGTCAGCTATTTACGGGTGGGTGATATTCATGCTATACACTGTCAGCTATTTACGGGTGTATGATATACATGCTATACACTGTCAGCTATTTACGGGTGAGTGATATACATGCTATACACTGTCAGCTATTTACGGGTGTATGATATACATGCATACACTGGCAGCTATTTACGGGTGAGTGATATACATGCTATACACTGTCAGCTATTTACGGGTGAGTGATATACATGCTATACACTGTCAGCTATTTACGGGTGTATGATATACATGCATACACTGGCAGCTATTTACGGGTGTATGATGTACACGCTATACACTGGCAGCTATTTACGGGTGTATGATATACATGCTATACACTGTCAGCTATTTACGGGTGTATGATATTCATGCTATACACTGTCAGCTATTTACGGGTGTATGATATACATGCTATACACTGTCAGCTATTTACGGGTGTATGATGTACATGCTATACACTGTCACTGTCAGCTATTTACGGGTGAGTGATATACATGCTATACACTGGCAGCTATTTACGGGTGAGTGATATACATGCTATACAC